CTTCCGATCTAGACACACACACACACACACACCACTGATTTATTGATTTAAAATAATTTGAGTTAAATTCTCAGACAGTGAACCAAATGAAATGTCGAGGTGATGCAGGATATTTAAAGTGTGGTGCTGCAGACTGTTGATGAGATGGGCCAGCACCCTCAGGCTGTGATGGTGCTGACTGTGAATGAGGACACCAGAATCAATCTGTTCCACTGCTCTGCTAAAAGTCAGCATGTGAGCTCATCCAGTGTGTTATTTATTTTTCTACACACAAAGACTTAATATATGTTAGTGCCCTGGCTGTGACGTCTATGTAGGCCTAATTAGTAGAATGCATTGACGGCTATAAGGTGAAGTTAGTATTAGAAGTAGGAGTGTTTAGTGGTTTGGGGTTTAGTTTAGTGTCCTTTAGCATCGTGCTCCCTAATTTCCAAACATTTGTTCAACTGTTTACAAGTAGAAATGACTGCTGAGACTTCTTCCTTGACCCACGCAGAGTCACCAATCAACAGTTTGTAGAAGGTCTTTTTTCTTTTGGCCAGAGGAGAGTAAAGTGTTTTGCACCATGTCTGCTGAGCTACAGTTGGGCACATGGCAGGACATGTATTTAGGTAAAAGGCTAAAGATTTCTTAGGAAACTGTGGTTTAGTTCACGACGTGTTGCTTTGCACATTGGGCCATCTGCAGATGCTGCATGTTTGAGGCACTCCTAGACATTTCATGCTTTGGGGATTTGAGACGATGAGAAGGCTGAAGAAACTTGGATTAGGTTTCGATTTCTTAAACCTGCATTGTTTATGTTGAAACTGTATGTTAAAAGAGTTATTAGCTCCTGCAATGACTCCTGAAGTTGAAATACGACCAATTCTTTGTATTTCCTCAGGCCTATAATTTAATTTTACGACTATGCTACTGTGCATTATGTTGTCTGCATGTCTTTAAATCTCCTTTCATCCCAGCGCCCACCAGCTCTGCTATTTTTGTTTGTATCCAGGTCTCCTCTCTCCACCCACAGACAAATTGAAGGTCAGCGATGCCAGGTTACTTTGTTTTGGAAAACCAACAAGTCATTCTCAAAGTGCACCTGTTGTTGATCAGTGTCACATATTTTAAATGAAGGACAAAAAAATACATTTTGAATTTTTTATAAAAGCTTCTAGCCTCTTTATCTCTTCAATACATTTCATAAATGACATTTATGGGCAGTGATGAAATTCTGGGTTGCTTTGGAAAATGCCTTTTTTGGCAGACAAAACTTTGCATCTGCCAAATGTACAATTTCCATCTCTCTAAATTTTAAGATTGTCAGCAGGCTGATGGCTTAATTTTCCTGAGTTTGTGTTAAGGTCAGAAAAGCGTTTCTCTGAAATTCAGAACATCAGCGTATTTCAGCATTAGTCATTCACCAGTGATAATACTTTAGTTTGCTTGAGATGATGATTTCAGGCCATACTCTGTTGTACATAACATGAAATAATCAATAATGCCCACCAGAGGGTACAACAATTATGAGGAGCTCAATGATGAACACTATTGTGAATTCTACTGATTCTTTGTCCTGAAGGTTCGATGTCAAGGTGCTAAAATGTTGGCCACATTATCTCTGTGTGTGTGTGTGTGTGTGTGTGTGTGTGTGTGTGTGTGATCAGAGAGGCCTTTGGAAGAACCCGGCTGGAGCAGGCTGCAGCTCACTGTGGTGATCCTGGTGCCCTCCTGCCTCCTGTGTGTGGGGATCCTGCTGAGTGTGTTCATTGTGCAGACCCATCACTGTGTTTACAGCAGAGCCCGCAAGCAGGACCCAGAGGAGTCTCTGCATGACCAGATGCTAATGTCACACGACAAATGCCTCAAAGATCTGATCTATGACATGAGCACCTCAGGCTCTGGATCAGGTAAGAGCGACTCAGATTATGACTCATTCCGGGTTAAACTCAACAAGACTTGGATAAATGTGAAGCCAGTGAAACGGAATGGTATTATCAATATCAGCTGATAGTCTTGCTGGTGGGTTGCAGGTCTGCCATTGCTGGTCCAGCGGACAATAGCTCGGACCATCATCCTGCAGGAGACCATTGGGAAGGGTCGGTTTGGGGAGGTGTGGCGGGGAAAGTGGCGAGGAGAGGATGTGGCGGTGAAGATCTTCTCCTCCAGAGACGAGAGGTCGTGGTTTCGTGAAGCAGAGATTTATCAGACAGTCATGCTCAGACATGAGAACATCTTGGGCTTTATTGCTGCGGACAACAAAGGTATCGGAATCAGATACACAGACCAAATAGAATCAAGTTCACATTATATTTATGAGATACATGTGCCAACAAGGGACTGTATTCTTGCAGATAATGGCTCGTGGACTCAGCTCTGGTTGGTGTCAGAGTACCATGAGCATGGCTCCCTGTATGACTACCTGAACAGGTACACAGTCTCTCTGGAAGGCATGATCGTCCTCGCCCTGTCCATAGCAAGTGGACTGGCACATCTCCACATGGAACTCATTGGAACACAGGGTAAGGCTGTATTCTATCTAATCTAACTATGGCACTTGTGTGCTCAGTAAAACCACCATATACTAAAAACTGTCTTAACCCAGATTCCACCAGTTAACGGGTCAGCCTGTGTTTCTATTCAGACCTGCAACTAAAGATTAATCAGACTTTTGTGATTAATTTAAGTCTCATTTGCTCTCTAAAACGTCAACAAATATTAGAACTGATGGCCTAAAACCTTATTTGTGTCCTTCTTGGTGTTAGGGAAACCTGCCATTGCTCACAGAGACCTCAAGTCTAAAAATGTCCTGGTGAAGAAGAACGGCACAGCGGCCATCGCAGATTTGGGTTTGGCTGTGAAACACGACTCCAGCACCAACTCCATTGACATACCGTCCAACCACAGAGTGGGAACCAAGAGGTTGGATTTTCCTCACGACACACAACTTACACACACAAAGTAAAAACAGGATGGAACTGAAATACCTTGATAACCATGGTCTAATTAATTACATTTACCAGGGAGTTTACGTATCAGTCAGCCAATACTATGTGTTGTTGGCGGTCTGTTGGGAAAAATGCTGGACAAAAGTAATGAAACCTCAAGCTAGAAAACAAACCGAGATGGTACAGTTGGTTACTGTAAAACATATTTGTTTTTGGTAATGTGGCATGAACACATTTATCTATATATATACCAAACTTAAACCCTGCATGTGTAGCATATACATTTTTAGACTTTGTTGACTCCTAGCAGTACTATCAAATGCTCACAAGATTCAATATCTATTTGTCAAACTATTTCCATGAATCACCAGTGAGTGATGTCACTGTTGTTTTCTGAGAGGATGTGTTTGTTCTAAAAGCATAATGTTCAAATCCCTTTTTTGTTCAGAATGATGACCTGAGCTTGTTTTTTTTCTATATTTGTGATTTTCAATTCAGAGAACATGGGGTGTTTAAAAAAAAAAAAAAAAAAAAAAAGAAATGCTGGGCTTTTTATTTCATTAGGTCTTAATTGTTTTGTCCTCTGCAGGTACATGGCCCCAGAAATCCTGGATGAGGTAATCAATATGAACTGCTTTGAGTCATTCAAGAGGGCGGATATCTACTCGCTAGGCCTGGTGTTCTGGGAACTGGCCCGGAGGTGCTCTGTTAGAGGTACTTTAAATGACACGCCCACTTTATGGACTCCCACTTTTCTATCGATATTTATAGAAATATTTAATGGAAAAATCATTAGCAAGACTGGACTATAGGGCACTAATAGTCAACTAATAGACATGACACCACTGATGAAACTGTAATTGTGCAACTAACAGTTGATTTAAGGTGGTTCATTTCCTTTTCTGATTGCCTTACACCATCACTACTGTGTGTCATCATGTGGGTGAGGAAAAGCAGGATAAACAAAATCTCCTTCTTTGTACTTTTTTCACAGGGCTTCATGAAGATTTCCAGCTGCCTTACTATGACCTGGTGCCTTCTGATCCAACCATTGAGGACATGAGGAAGGTAGCGTGTGAGCAGAAACTCAGACCCAGCGTTCCCAACCAGTGGCAGAGCTGTGAGGTGAGACGGAAGGATGCATCTGATGTATGATCATATAATGTATATGATAGTTATGATACTAACTCATCACTAGTGTTTACTAAACTGCTAAAGTCTGATACAAAACCAAAACAGACTTAACATGCCGTATGCTTAGAGGATAAATCTGCTGTATTACAACAGAGACGTTTTCTTGCTGAGATAAAAGCGTACTGAAAAAACCTTTGTACATTCAGATTGGTGGTTATTAAGCTTTTAATATTATTGATGGAGCTTTTATCGGCCTAGTTTATGCTGAACTGAACGAAACGGACTGAATTTACCATAAACAGAAACAGTTTGAACTGTGATGAGATTGGTCATCTTAGATAACTACATGTACATTGTTAGTAACTATAATTTAAAAACAATTAATTAAATAAGTGTATAAAAGCCCTTATTGCAGCTGCTGGGGGTTCAATTCCAGCCCGAAGCCCTTTGCTGCAACTGTCGCTGTATAATTAAGCAGAAATGCCGAAAACATATCTTTCTAAAATAGTACTGTCTCCTTGTTGATACACCAGGCTCTGCGTGTGATGGGCAAACTGATGAGAGAGTGCTGGTATGCCAACCCTGCTGCTCGACTCACTGCTCTGCGGGTCAAGAAAACAGTGTCTCAGCTGTCTTTCATCAAGGATGTCAAAGATTAGTAGGAGTTGTTGCCCTGCAGATCAGCACTGGTGCTGGCACTGGTGCAACACGACGGACTGAGAGCAAACTGGGAGAAACTCTCAACGGTCCGAGGCTGCCCTCTTCAGGAAACAAAAACAATGTTCACCCTCAGAGAGCAACTTCAGGTTGTTTTTGGTGCCAAAGTATTGTAGAGGGTGTCAGCGGCTGCTTTGCACAGTTAAAAAAAAATAATGAACCGAACAGCTGCACTTTTGGTAGGAAGAGCCATAAGAATGTATGTAAAATATAATGTGTAGACAGATTATTTTGCTACCTCAGACATTTAAGTGCCCAAAGCTTGAAGTTGCACATTGTGATGTTTTCGTGCCATATCTTGTATCAAACACAGTATTGCTGAGTAGTTAGTGTGCTAACTGACAATCACACGGATACTGAAAAAGAAACCCTGACTGGTTTTAAATTACACTTTTACAGACTGTCCCTGATAATCTGAACGTTAAAAGTGTTGAAAGTGCTTTTCAATAGTTATTACAGTACTAATTGTAGGTCAATAATTTGATGCTGGTCCACTGGTTCCGTTGGTCCAAATACCTCAACAAGTATTGAATGGACCACGATTAGATTTGGTTCAGAAAATCTTGGTCCCCAGAGGATGAATAATAATAATCCCCTGCTGAGCGGAAACTAATATGAGTTCTCTTAAAATCGACAGAGTGAACCTTTTTGGATTTAGTTAAAGACTTGACCGTTCCTCTGGCGCCGCCCTCAGGCCAAACTTTAAACATTTGACTGACTGGTGGTAAGAATTAAATCTATGAAGTTGTCTCATGGGATCAGTAGAGTCGCTACAGACTTTTTTTTTTTTCTTGTCCTTTACACAAAGAGAAGTATTGCTTTAAGCTCCTGCTATAAAGTTTGCACATTTAAAGCTTTCAGTTGCCTAAAAGAGCTGCTCTGTCAGGTGAATGCTAGCAACAAAAGCTCATTCATGAATGTGAAAAGTTATGTTTTATATTTCTCAAATATATCTAATCCCACTGGAAGGATGTTGTTCAAATCATAACATCTTTATGATTTTAATGCACAAACTTCAGTATGTTGACATTGGCTCATTGGTATTTTTAACTGGGAAATCTAATACTACATTCAGTATGTTAGAAAACGCTCAATTTTACAAGCCTGATGCTGTTATACAGCAGGTTTCTCAATGTACTACATAATAGCGAAGACCAAGATAAGATCAGATCTTGATAAAGATCTGGATAAAGCCAATAATGAAATTATTTAAAAAATGATAACGACGAAATATCGTTAAATGTGGTTAAGATATTTCACTTGCAGGGCCTAGTCTGGGTGATGGGTACACATGATCACTGTCTGACGAGGCCTGTAAAGTCTTGTCGTAACAGGCTTATAGGGAAAATGCACAACTGTATTCCATGTGTGCTTATACGCACCCACATGTGTGCCTGTGTGTGCCTGTGTGTGCCTGTGTGTGCCTGTGTGTGCGCGTTTCAAATGTGGAGCGACCCTGTGTTTAAAGATGTGAATCTGATTTATTATTGTAGGTTGTGAAACTGGTACTGTGGAAAAGAACCTGTTTCCCATCCACCACGGCTTTCAATTCATCCTCAGTTAACGTCCATGTTTTTAGTTGCTTACTTCCATGTAGCTGCTTAGTGTTGACACATATAGAAGTTCTGTTAAGACTACTCGCTGATAACATAGAATCAGCTGTCGCTCTCTTGACAAATATCAGTTCATGTAAGTCTTTGTGTTTTTCTTTTTATGAAACGATACGTTGACTTCAACCACGGGATCATTCAACTTTGTGTGTTGCAGAATACAGATATGAAATATTGAAAATGCAGTATTAAAGCGGCCGTCTCTGCCTGGGTAATGTTGGATCTATGCTGAACCAAACTTATATTTTGTCTATAGTGTCATATCTGTTTCTCCAAGAATCAGACAGGTGACATATCAATCATTCCAAAGAGGAGTGTCCACCATGTGCAAATTCTGACTGGTGTCTTTTTAAAAGAATATATATTGTTTATGAAGTTGCTGAATGCTAAAATCATATGTGAAACCGCTTTCATGAGATAAGACCTGCTTTTTGATTTTCGAATCATCCTGTTATGTAGATCAATACCGTTTTGTGTCATTGCTCAGATTTCATGCCATTGCATTGTATCTCTTGCACTATTTGTTCTGTATAGAAAAGAGTTATATCGGTGGGTCAATAAACTGTTTCTCATGGAGTGAACTGTTTTCAGTACTTTCTTTCATAATAGAAGTATGTTTTTTTTTTTTTAGTATAAAATGTCTCACATTGCATTTGTGACTTTGAAAGCACTGATTGTGCAGAGCTTTGCACATTACTGCACGTAGAACAGAATTTCCCGGAGCAACTCATCTGAAACAGGTCCTTTTTTTTTTTTTTAAATCTTCCCCATCACACTTTTACCTGAACTGACACGACTCATCTCTGCTTTCTGTTCTCCCGCTCTACTCGTGTATCTCGCTTATGATGTGTCCGTTAGACAGAGGAAATAAAAGTGTAACATTGAGGCCATCAGCACTACGCAGATGAGTCAACGCCGCAAGATTGTGCTGCAAGTTGCTTTTAACGGATTTGACTGTGCTGCCGGTCACCTAAGACAAGAGACACAGTGTTACCCACAGGAGGTTTATGGGGCAAAGAATGAAACTAGTTTGAGCTTTTTAACTATTTTGAGATGAATTCACATTTTTTCACATAAAAAAAACACAATTTGTGAATACAGAAAGTTACTTTTCAGACTGTAACATTGTAAGCTTTAGACGGCTTTAGAATGCATTGTAACACAAAACACACAGCAATATAAGATACACTTCAAAACTTCAATCTAGTTTTTAAAACTCAAGCAACAAGGTGTACAGTATGTTCTGTTTCCTCCCGTATTACAGAACCATTGACAATAGTATATCCAATGTTTTTCCTCCTCGTGTTCATCAAGCAGCAGTCATCTTTTCTGTACTTCTAGTGGTTTAACTATAGATGGGAGTTTGCAATGTCCCGGAGAAAAGGGATATCTGTGTTCCAGACGGTCCCGTGGTCGGTTGGCCAACGGCTCTGCTGCAGGTCAGTGGGGCAGAGGGGACTGCTGTGAGGCAATCTGCTCAACTGGGTTCATACATACAGTACTGAGGCTCGAAGCGAAAAGACCCTTTTCTCTGTTTTTCAGGTCACCAAAGAAATGCAGCTTTTGTGCACGGTGGAAGATGATATTCTTTTCCTGCAGATTAAACGGAGTACCTTTTGTAAGGATGGGGGTGTGGTAGTGGAAGAAGGTTTGTGCACTGTGGCTCAGTTTTCTTTGCCCCATCCACCATTGTCCCGCTGGCTGATGGCCTGTGTGTGTGTGTGATTTCCCTTTTGAACCGACCATGTCTGATGCCTTCGGCCCAATGACCCATGCTGTCTGTTCGGGGAGCGTGACACTGGCCCCGAGCTAAATCAGCCTTTTGTCTGTCCTCATAAGACAAGTCACCCTGCTTGGCAGAACACAGGACTCATTCTCAGCCAGAAGCTAAGCCCATTGAGAAACTGAGAGTGAGAGAGGCTCGAAGCAGGTGCTGGTGGAGGCGTGAGGTGGCAGTTTGTCATGCTTTGCTGATTTCTGACAGACCATAAATCGAATTGCTTAGACTGCAAAAAGGGAAAAGGGGCTGTTTGAAGGGGAATAATACAGCAAACCATCCATTCTCAAGAAAGAAGAACAAAAAAAAAAAGTTCAAAGGTAAACAGGAAATTAGCTATGTGAAGCTGTGATCTGCAGATGCAGGTCCACCACAACCATCACATGACGTGGATTTCCGCTTGACACATTGTGCTCTCGGCTGCACAGCGGGGCAGGGCCACACAATCACTAAAGAGCTGCTGCAGCAGGACGTGATGGTGCTTTGAGGACTAGTCTCCCAACCATGAATTTCAATGGACTTCCACGCCAGGACAGCCAAGAGAATTACATTCTGGATAATACTCTGAGGAGGAAATGTTCCCTTTGGTACCGACGTTCACTGATGGGAAACAATGATCGACACCGGCACAACACAGGCTCTCTGCCCAGAGTATGCAAGGTGAGACACTAAATCAAGTGTGATATATAGCTGGAATATAAAGAGTAAAAACACACACTTCTACAATTCAAATACAATTTTAATATTTTGAGTTCTTTAACCCACGTAGGATCAACATGTTCTCAAGTTGAACAATCAGTTCCCAGAGAGCTTTAAAACTTGAAGCTATGGTATTGTTTTAAAGAGGAACTCTGCATTTCTTCTTTTGCAGCCGAAACAAACCCGCTCCAACTTGCTGGTTGATTACTCTGACCCACAAAGGTAAATATATCAAATCTGCTGTGCAATTTATCCTACAGAAGGTTTCACATTTAACCTTACTACGATTATTTATATAT